TTATGTGTTAGTATTCTTCATTTATTTTCTTGTTCTAATGGAGCACATTTCACAGTAGCTTCATGGGTTGAAAAAGATGGCACAATGACAAAAGTCATGAAGATGGAGTCCTTAACATGCTTTTCTCCTGGCCTTGCTGCTCCAATCTGAACTGCTTGTCTTTTATGACTGGTGCACCATTGTAATCCTACAAGTGTCCTTCACCACCCTTTTGGATAATCCCTTTACTTCTTTCTTCCTTTTGTTCAAACTCCTGTTTTTCTGAATTCAGTGTATCTTGGATCTTTCATTATTTAGTGAAGTATATTGTATATCTGAGGAATGGAACACGGGAAGAAAAAAATTCACTTTGTCTTCCAATCTATTGAGTTTTAATTGTTCCTATCAATTTTTAATTTCTTTGCAAATGATTTAAAAAAATTTTCCCTCTAAGAGATAATAAGGATTGTTTTAAAACATTTTTAATGATGCATAATGTTTCCTTCTTGTTATTTTTGTGTTTCTTTGGGTCACTGTGGTTGTTTGAACTTTTCTTTAGATGCCTAGAAATCCTCAGTTGTCTGATCCTGTTTCACAGGAGGAAACAAAAAGCTAATTTGAAACACTGACTGCATAGGTGGGACTTGTCAGTACGAACTTTAATAAAGGGTAATCTTGCTGGCTTTTTGTTGGAGAAACCCTGATTTCATATTTTGTTGTTTTTCTTCTTGGATTGTCAGATTCACCAGAGAAGAGTTATTCAGTTTTTTTGGCTAAAGAAAACAACAACAACAAATTCTCCCCAAAACTACCTGCTGACATCCCAGTGATAAAGCAGAGGAAGTCTGGGAGGTGTCTGTATTAACATTCCAAACATAGAAGTTCACTTAATTCTCTCTTTTTGGTAGAGAACACTGGCATTCCCCAATTCAGAGACCTTCTTCTACCATCTCTATAAAAGAAGGGCAAACCTTGAGTTACTGGTTGGGGAGAGGAAGAGCAATTGCCCAAAGGCAGGGAGGCTTGGACAGGACCTAGAGTATTTAACTGTTTCCTGTAAATGGTTTTCAGTTCTTAATTTATACAGTTCTGTTCACCCCATTTCCACAGGTACTTGACGCTTCCATTCCCTGAGCCTTCTGCATTCTATGTGATGTACTTTGAGGTTGTTCTCTGATTGTTCCTGCCAGTTTATGACTCCTTCGGTCCGCTAAGCCAGTTACCAGATGTCCACTTGCTTCCAGCTTCCCAAATGTTGGTGTTGTCTTCTCTCCTGTATTCCCTTCTCCTAAGTCTTTTGGAGAAAAAAAGGAAAGGAAAGGAGAGGAGAGGGGAGGGGAAGGAGGAAAGGAGAGGAAAGAAAAAAGGAAAAGAAAAGAAAAAAAGAAAAAGAAAATCCATTTTCTATAGTTTTAGTAGGGCTTTGGAGGAAGTGAAATTATATGCCTGTTCCTGATCCATCATTTGACCTGAAAGTGTTGCTATTGCTTTTAGACACATGTTACATGCCAGGTAAAATCTATAAAGAATTCTCTGGTGAAAGCTCTTGTTAGTGTAAAGGCCAATAACTGTTCTAAGCAACAAATAATTTTTTTTGCTGTTGAACTGTTTATATGTGTCGTCCCTTTTGTCTGTGACTTCAGTCTTTCCCTTTTGAACCCGTCACCAAACTCTTACTTAAAATCTTCCAGATTGAGCACTATGTCAACATCCTGTCCTATAGACCCAACACTAGCCCTGCAAGAGTTTGAACTGCATTTTCCTTTGAGTAGGCAGAATGATTACTATTTCAAAGTCTTTTCACATTGTCTCTTTTGTAAGGTAATATGATAAGAAAATGAAAACCATTTCTCTTATATCTATGCACACATTTAAGTAAGCAGACCTTGATATTTTGAATATTTTATTTTTATTTAAGTAGGCTCCATGCCCAGTGTGGAGCCCAGCATGGGGCTTGAACTCACAACCCTGAGATCAAGACCTGAGCTGAGATCAAGGGTCAGATACTTAACTGACTGAGCCACCCAGGCACCTCTGTTTTTTTTAATATTTTAAGTCCTGATAACATTCTCTACTCACTGATGCCTCCCGAAGAGTCTTCCCACTTTTACTTGGCTACTGTTCCTGGACAATTTCCTCTGGTTTAAAAGGTGACTATTAGAGGTAAAAGGTAAATATTAAAAAGAGATTAGCCTAAACTTGAGGCTTTCTTTATGGTTTGATAAACAATATTTAATGAGGTCTGGAAAAAAGTAATGCCTTGGAAAAAATCAAGGTCAACTCCTTAAAAAAATTTATCTTGGAAACAAATACTTTAAAATATCTTTATTCATAAGACTCCTAGAAAACAGGTTAGAGAATATATAACAAAGCAAAATAAAACTTCTATAATAACAAAATTTAAAAATACAATTTAATTTAGTGTAGTAAACATTTCTAGAGCTTCTTCATTCAAGGCACTGAATTAGATGCTGGAGGAGGGACCAAAAAAAACCAAAACCAAAACCAAAACAAAACAAACCAAGAAGAATGCGATTCCTAAGGGCTTAGACATTCACAAGAAATAATGGTTTAAGTTCACGTAAAATTATAGATTTTGTCTAAAACGTTTCATGAGTATGACCATATAATTTATTATTAAAAATGGAAGACTTTTGAAGAGCAAGAGGAGGTGCAATGTTAATAATTATACTGGGATCATTCTAAGCAAAACAAAATGCAAGGAGATAATATGAGGTTTCAAAGTTGGTGGAATTTTATCTGTTCAGTGAGATCAGGGAAGATAAAGAAGGGAAAAGTGGAAATTCAAAGTAGAGAGAACAGCATGAACCAAACTATGGGTGAGGAGTGGCATGTATTTGGATGGTTTAGGTATAAAAATATATACTGGTGAAAAAGTTTGAAAAGCAAGTTAAAAATAGATTTTTAAGGGCCTTCCTATAAAATCTTTGTTTTAATAAAGGATTGACATGATTCAAACTCTAATTTGAGAAGATTGTTCTGCCAGGAATGTGTAGATAGGCTAGAAAAGAAAGAGATTGAATTAGGCAAGAAGATTCAGAAGGGAAGAAGTTATGAACCCTAACTAGGACAAGAATGTCAAGGAGAAATTAGATGCCAATAATATTGTTGAAGTAGAATTCATAGACCTGGTAAATATCAAAAGGGGGGACATCAGAGGCAAGGGAAAAAGAAAAGGCCAAGAACACAATATTTTCATGTAAATAACCAAGAGAATTTAGTGTATTAATAAATAATTCAGGAGGAAGCATGCTTATTTTTTGGGGAAAAAGGGATGTTGATGCTTTATATTTAGGAGATTGAATCTGGGAAGCAGAGGAAAAATCCAGATGTTTGTCCAGCAAGTGGGTGAAAATTGTCAATCTGGATTTTGTGAGACATCATATCCACAAAGCTAAAGCCATGCTTGTGCAGAAGGGTCCAGGAGAGAGTATAGAATAAAGGAGGCTAAGAACATATAGGGGACTTAGGTAAATTCACAAGAATTAGTTTAAAAAGATAGATATGGTAGGGGAAAAGATTTTTAAGCCCTAATATCTCAAGCCAACATTTTCCTGAGCACGGACTATGAGCTAGCTTCTGTAGCAGCTCTAGGTATAGGAAAGGAATAAGAAATTGATAGGTCTTGACCTGAGGAGCAGAAGTACTAATGGCAGAGTAACTGTCAGTATTAAATACTCGTAAGAAGCCAGGTAAGATAGAGAATTAGACTAGGTTTAGTTATAAATATATCATTTAAATTTAAAAAAAGGAGTGGTGAGGAGTGCCACAAAATTTTAAAGAATGAGTGTAAAGAACACATGAAAGGAGTGAATTATATATATTTTTCAAGGAATAGAATAATTAAGGGGGGCAGAGAAGAGAGAAAAGAGGTGAAGGTGAGGAAAAGGAAGAGGAAGAAGAAGGAAGGAAGGGGGAGAGCTAGTGACACTGAGGTAACTAATTGAGGGGGTGGCAGAGGGCATCAAACTGGGTTGAATGAAGTTCTGCCCATTCAAATACTTTGTGTAAAAGATTTAAAATATGCAAACGTTGTCATTCACCTCAATGGTATTTGTTTCTGTAGCGTGCTATATAGTATCATTCTAGTTTGGTCCTTGATTATGGCAACAATCGTGCAAGATAGGTCATATAATGCTATATTTTGATATTAAATAAATAAAATACAGGTATGTAAGAAAAATACTTTACTGGGTTAGATCGATATTTCTCGCTTTCCCCCCCCCTCTTTGATAATAAAAAAAAGATTTATTCTTGAATTCTGCCTGATTATTTATGGTTTCATATTGTTGACAGCCTTATAAAAATAAACGTTATCTTTTGTTTAAAAGCCTTTTACAAATAAAAATACAATATATTGTTGCTTGGCTAACCTTTTAGGTTCTTATGGGCTGACATGTTTCAAAAGTCCAACAACTCTTATCTATGAGTCTTCCTTTAAACTCTTTGAGATAGATATGCAAGTTCTCAGGGATGCACCTTAGAAGCAGATTTCAAAGACTGAATACAAACAGTTCTCTGTTCCCCTAGTCTACAGTTTATTACTTCAGACAATGAAATCCCTTATGATTGTCTTAGGTACCTTGCTTCAGTGCTCCTCTTTTATGTGTGGATTAAAATTTATAAGATTAGTTTCTTGGTGCATAGATGAGTCTTGATTTTTGCATGAAAGAACATATTTTTCTTTATTACCAGTATGCATTCCCAATTCTTCCTAAAGTTCAGATGACCATTTGGAATAATTGATACATATTAGATTTGATTTTTAGGAAACTCTTGCTTCAGCACTTGATTACATGCAAGTATTTGATATTGTAAGAGATTTCATAGTTGATCCTGTGTTCAAGATAATTTATGAAAATGTAGATAAGGAAATGTTTATCTTTGCTTATGTTTTCTACGAATCAGTTCTTTATTCATGGTTATTCATGGCCATCCTTTCCTGTAGTCCTACCATTAAAAAAAAAAAGTTCTTGAATGGGATTCTGTCAAAGACTTTTTATATAAAAATTAACTCCTTTGATTCAATTTACCTAGACAGTCATGATGTGTGACTTTAAACAATAAGTTATACTCACCTATCCAAAAATTACTCTTTATTCTTATTAGGTAGTGATGAAATCTTAACAAATCCTATGTTCATGGCTACTTGCCTGATATATCTGATGCAGTAATGCTTCCTGCTCCTGTCCTTGGCCCGTCACATGCATCTAGTTAGTCCATAAACAATTCTCCAGTTGATATGGCCACTTTAATATACTTGCTCATTCAGGGAAACACCAGAAATCTTGGCCTAAATTACTTAAGAATTTTCATTTTCTGTTTCATATTGATTAGGAAGGAATATATAGTAAAGTCTACTGCTATAGATCACAGCCTCCATATTAGTTATAAATGTATGTATATCATTCATTGAGTAAAACCACAATGTATATGAACTGTTTTTCTTTTCTCTTATTTATTGACAGTTTTTTTAATTACAACACAAAGAATTGATGGTAAATACAGAAGATGCAATAGTATAAAAAGCCATTTAACCCGTCCCTAGGTTAAGACACTTACAGCAGACAAAAACTGCCCCACCCCAAGTCCCCTCCTTGAATGGAAACAAAATAAATATAAATTAATAAATACAAAACAAATCACTGCACAGCCCTTAACTCTTTGATTGCCATGGCAAGAACCATGCTGATGATTCTAGCTTGTGACATTTGTGTGGTTAAAGGTTGCCGCAGCAGTCAAAGGGTTATAGCATTGTAAACATAAGTACTTCGTGGAAAAGTTCAGTCATGTTAATGGTCTACAGCGATGAGATTAATAGCATGACCCCTTGACCTTTAATGACGCAACATTATAAGGAGTTGAAGAGATAGTAGCTTGGTGAGCTGTTACATAGACTAGTCAACCATTTTATTTAACAATGTGCTATGAGGCCTTGATTTACTAATAAAAGACAACTTGTGAATAATAAACACTGTTCGATGCATTGATCAATAAAATCAATGAAAAAATTAAGCACCACAGAATTTTGCCTGATTATATCTGACAGTCATAATACACTTTAGCACCATTTATTTGCCTTATATTTGCACACAAACAAGCTTTGTGTTTGTCAGTAGAAGCTATCTGAAAAAAAAAATATATATATATATATGCCAGATTTAAGATGTTAATAAATGTATAGAATCCTGTGTGGGCAAAAAAAACCACTAACAACTTGCAAACCTTAAAGCTCATTCAGCAAATAAATGAGTTATTTATTTCTTTCCTTGCACATAGAAGACTACATATTATCAGAAACTTAATGAAGTACTGTTGAATGTAATGTGAACAATCCAGAAGTTTAAAGTTAGATTTTAATATCCTCTCCATTACTGAAAATATCATGGGGAATTAAAATAAAGGCAAGTATTGTCAGACAACCAAGAGATAATAGCCTAAATATTTAATTTCTTACTGTTTCTCTCTGCTTCATGTTTTAATGTTATTTAAATAAAGTCTGCATTTATTTTATGCATTACATTCTTTTAATTTCCCATAACCACAATATAGAAAGGAAAAGTGATTTTCATAAGAAGCTATAAAATGTCTACTGTTTACCCAAGAGACAACTTTCCTCTGCAATTGCTTGCATCTCATTCTGGCTCTGAAAGACAAATGTATGTGCAATTATTTTTTTAATATAGCATATGGTATTTATTTGACAAACTAAATTTATGGGAGCTTTTTCCCCTTAATCTGTTAAATATGTATGTGTGTGTATATATATACACACACATGCATACATACACACAGACACACCATATATACACACACATATACACATACACACACTATATATATATTTCCAAATCTATATTACCAGATAGCTCATATGGATGGCATAAATTGTGTTCATTATCATACTGATCCATACTGGAATCAAGATAATGTTTATATAGGTATACAGATTTTAAAACATCCTGAAGATAGATTACTACACTGATGAAGCAGGCAATTTTCTCAGTATCAATAATTGATTCTTTTAAAAAATCATCAATAGACTATGGACTATGTTTTTGCTAAAAATTAGGTTTATTAAAAGTTATAGTAGCACAAATTTGAACTAGTAAACTCCATTTATTTCCTTCCTATAATATAAAAACAAAATATATTTATTTAAAATTATATACCTAAAAAAAAATCTTTCAAGACTTTTAAGCCTGAAGCAAATTTTTATGGGTGAGTCTCTAAAACCCCTGAAAATAGAGGTCCACAATAAAAATGCTGATGCAGTCAAAACCAATGCAGCAAAAAGCTGCCACTATAATACCCCTTATTCTTTCATTCTCTTTCTAATATATAATTTATGTAATTTACACATAAAGGGAAACAGATACAGAATTGAGGTTTTAGGCATTCATGTACACATGATGTACCTTAAACAGAACACTATATTATGGTATTTACTTTCCTGTATAATTATTTAAGATACATTCTCCAAAAGCAAAGTTCCTTAGCTGGCTTATCAACAGACAACAGCCTTCATACTCAGCATTTCACTTTTCTCAGGGGAATAACTCTAAAAAAGTTAGAATCCAATGTAAGAGATTGGAAGGTGTGTGAAATTGATTGGAAACTCTTTGCATGAAACTTGTGAAGGAAATTACTGAGGAACAAAAATATATTTTCTGGGCCCATGTCCGATATATAGTGCTGCTCAATTCTGGTTTTCATAAACAGAAGGGAAAATCAAATCTGTAAAAAAAGAGGGGCAAGGTGGAAATGGAAAGGAATGCAAATACGGGCACAGACTACATAAGACAATACAAAATAATATAACCCTCCCAACCATCTGTATTCTGGGGTGACACACAGAAAGCAAACAAATAATTTCAGGATTGGAGGAGCAGAAAAACCAGATACCCAATCATCCTTGTTAAGAAATCAGGTTTGTTTGAAAGTAACAAAGTAACTAAGATTGTGAAATTTTGTATTTATGAACATAAAAAAGAATAACGTATTCCACTTCGGATAGAAAAGAAGTAACAAAAAACCAAAACCAAAAACAACCCTAATTTTACCCAGGCAGTAGGACCTACTAAAGAGCTGTGAGAAGACAAGCAATAATGTGGCCTCTGTGGTAGTGTTTCAGTGGTAGCAAAAATTATGACATTGATTTAAGGATTGAATCAGTCATTCAAGGAAACTATGTTTTACCTTCACAACTGGGTTATCAATATATAGAGAGGGAAAAAGTTCAAATTGGCATTACGAAAGAACAAATGAAACATGCATTCTAGTGACTTTGCAAATAGACAGCTCACACCAGGCTTTATTCATCCATATCTTAGCAAGACAGGCCAACATAGAAACATATATTCATACAAAATGTGGCAAGAACAAGCAGCACCATATCCTATCCTAGAAAAAAAGCAACCTACCATGCAGTCACATCTCACCAAAGCTTCATCGTATATGAGGCATTTATAAAAAGGCCTGTGTCAAAAAGTGTTATGCCTGGGATCAAATCTAGCTACAGACCAAATGCTACAGATATGTCTGTATTTTGTGTAATTTTTTTTTTTCATGGAGAAAAACAAGTAGATAAAATACTCAAGAAACATCTTTGTAAGTCAAAAAGTTAATCATTTTATTCATGTTCACCATTCTCCTTCTGGTTTTTCTATGTGAAATAAGGGTTAATGACATCTTACTCTGAAGCTAAGTGGCCTAACATGATACAATTATCATATTTTCATATCTATATTTAATTGATTTTCTTCTCCCTTCTTAAGGGCATATAAATTCAGCTCTATAGCAGAGCACGTGGCAAAGTTATGTGAATCAGCACAACATTCTAATTTATGATGTATTTGTCTTACAATGCCCAGTGTGCCCTTGAATGTAAGGCCACATTGAGTGCAAACTTGAATATTAACCCCAGTCCAATGTTAGTATAAGACAGATTTTTAAGATGCACTGCTCTTTAAATTGGAAAGGCATATAATCTTTAGAAATCTTCATAAATATCTTTCATATGTTTTTTATACTTAGGCACTAACCATGAGTTAACTGGGTATGCCCTCATTTTCCTTTAAGAGCTTTAGTTATGTACTATTTTACAGTACTCATGATCTTATACCCTTACTTCATATAAAGAATTAGCATTGTTCTAAAAAAAGATGCATGTTTCTGTCCAATTATAAGCTCAAAATTGTGTTTAAAAATCGAAGGCTGCTACTTCAGTATTCTACCAGAATATTGACAAGTTTTATAATATATGTTTTTCACTCAATTTCTGTGACTTTGTCAGTGTTTGTTTGGATCAGTGTTCATTCTTAGGCTTTATATACTATTGGTTTAAATTTCAAAGTAGAAATACGTATAAAATGTTGAGATATTTGAAATTGATGTTATTCATCTGACCTGAAATATCTCTGAATTATTTCAAAATGATACCAGTGGAAACAAAAAATGATTTGAGTAGGACAGAAAGACAAAGGTTACAATTAGGTGAGATTAGAAGACTAAGGCAATTTCTTTGCTACTATACCAAGTGTTTATGTTATGTGATTACTGAGGTAAATTTCTATCCTAGAGAAATGGCTTTTCTCAGGAGATTCTAACATATATCTTTCCAATTGAGGTTACTGAACACCTAACTTTTGACATTTTTAGCCTATAAGGCAGTGCATTAGTATCAGATGTGTTTATGCAGGGTAACATCTAAAAACCACTGGCTAATTATATACATTGATATATCACATACCCATTACTAACATGAAGAGCCTGAAGTTGCATTTTTCTCTATTTTTATACTTGCTAAAGTAGAATTTCCAGTTGTATTAAGGAGTGCTGTAGTATGTTTTTATATTTTATAAAACACTCATTTTTCTTTTTCCTCCATTTCCATTATATTTAATATATGTAGTATTTAATTTTCATATTTATGGTGTGGTGCTCCACCTGGTTGCTGTTTTCTTTATCATATAAAATTCTAATTTTTAAAATATAACTGATAAAATATTTCTGATGTAGCTCTGGTTCCCTTTTCAGCAACAAGGAACCTAAAAAAAAGATACATATCCTTTCCCAGTTATATAACCTGCAGTCAAAATAAATTAATATCATGAAGGTGCATGAGATGCAATGGAATGATTAAATCCTCTAATACTATTGACTTGAAACCTTTTGTGATATCATATATTGGCTGAGATTATATTTACAGCTATTTATAAATAGCTTATCTGAATTTAACATTTCTGGTTTAGATGGCATGTTCTTTTTGACATCTGTGATGTTTTGGAATGTGCTCTTGAGAGCATCAAAAATTAAATGAACTCTTTGCTATGTTTGCTGAAAAAGATTTCACCGCCATCCACGAGGTTGTTTCAGTATATGTTACAATCTCACAGACTCAATACTACCAGTAAATCACCACCTTTATTAGTTTCTGGAAATAATTCCAAAACTTAAAAAAAAAAAATCTTTTCATGACTCTTGTGTTAGCTCAGTCTACTTGATTATAACATCCATTTCTCTTCAGATAGCACATTGAATGTAGTCAATATGGACACATTGGTTACTCTATGTAAGACTCACAAAGTGTGGGCGTGTATTTGATACTAGAGATATCAGCATAATATGCAGAACTTGGAAGTATTATATTACTATACCTAGGATCCAGTATATACAAATCATCCACATATTGGAACTACCAGTGAAGTTGGGCAGGGTTCTCATCCACCACATTGTGTTTTTTTAATCACCCACAGAAAGGGAATAAAAATAAGTATATCGTATATGAAACAAATTGTGTCAATAGAAAAAGGTTACAACCAATCTGACTAGTAAAAGTAACATTTGCTTATTTCAGTAAATCAGTCTCTATCCTTTATTACTTAGTAATTATTTTCTGTAAATTATTACTTAGTAATTTATTACATCTGATTCAGAAAAGCCTTGCCCTCTGATTTATAACAGAAGTTGTCTTTGCTAGTATCATATAATGTTCTCTAATTTATCTATGGTATCTCTGCAGTTGTAAAGAGTTTCTGTATTCACCTGTTCTGATTGCCATGTCAGCAGACACTTTGTTCTAAAAGGGGTCAATAGTTAAATTCACAAACTCCTCTATGGTCTGATGTAGATTTACTGCTTTACAGGGAATACAGACTGTTTATTTTAATACTTCATTTCAGTCCAGTTAATAATATACAGAACAATAATATTTGGCTAAAATTATAGACTATAGAGTTAATTTATGTAAGGAACATTACGTTGTTTACATTTGTGTTTATATTAAAGTATTAAAAATGAAACAGAAGGAGAATTATGTTTTGTGATCATGAATGTGTTTTTCAATTTGAGAAACCCTAGGTCTGAACTTTCGATGCTATTAATGATGTGTGATGAAAAATATTTGATAGATTATAAGTTTCTATTGATACTGAACTTGGTATATTATGTTGTTGACCCATGGAAATTTATTCCACGTTGTTTTTGAATCACTATTCTTATTTGCTAGACCAATTGGTCACTCTCCCTTTCATTATTCCAATAGGATTGAGACTTTTTTTCCCCAAACCGCAGTGGAAGAGGAGTCAGCAACCATACTCACAAAGTGCCCTGTGTACAATAAACAAATAGAATCTTGATGTTTGT